AAGGCTCCAAGAACATGCCAGTCCCACCCCATCCCTCCTCTCCCACCTTCCTGCCACCCCCATGGCAGGTCTGAAGCTGTGTTTGAAAGGATACTGGGTGATGACATTCATGAGGAGGTAGAACCACATGATTGGCAGGGTCAGCCCAATCACTGGGACCTGGAAGGGCTCTGTGGGGAGAAAGGAGAAGATCATTGTCTTCCTCATGCAAGGAGATGTCTCCACCCTGTCCTTGACATTAACCAACAGGTTCAAGTGACCCTTGCACACAAACAACCCCCCTGAGAGGAGCTCAGAACCAGCACACCCAGTCCAGACAACGTGGGGGGTTTTTGGCTTTTGGCCTTTTATCCAACCTGAATATCCAAGCCCAAGAGTTCAGTCTCATGTGGACCACTGCTGGACTCTCATCTTCCTACAGGATTTTCCAGAGGACAGAAAGATAGAGGAGGAGGAGCAGCCTCTGCAACACTTACCAGACTGGCTGAAGAGGAGTGCATGGTGGTAGATGTTTGGGGCAAGGAGGAGAAAGCCAGGGAGGGGTAACGCGTGCTGGAGAGAACACAGAGACAGGATGTTACCAACTGTGTGAATCCAGCCCACTCCTCAGCCTGGGAAAGCAGCCCCAGACATCTGGGGCAGAGCACACTCTTCCCTGCTCCAGCCAAGCAGCCTGAGATCTTTTGGAGCTGGGCTGAGCTGGGCAGGAGGGGAAGAGAATCCCTTAGAAGCACAGACTTGTTTTCATTGGGAAAGACCTTTCAGATGATGGGGCTCAACCACCCCCCATCCCTGCCAGGTCCCCACTGCCCCGTGTCCCTCACCCCACATCTCCACGGCTTGGAAACCCCTCCAGGGGTGGGGACTCCACCACTGCCCTGGGCAGCCTGGCACAGGCCTCCACAGCCCTCCAGGGCAAGAAATTGTCCCCAAAATCCAACCTCAACCTCCCCTGGGGCAACTTGAGGCCATTTCTTCTTCTCCTGTCCCTTGTCCCTTGGGAAAGAGTCTGACCCCCACCTGGCTCCAGCCTCCTCTGAGGGAGCTTTTGATAGCAAGA